GTGGTCTGGACCATACATGTGTACTTTCTATTTGGATGCTTCTTCCTTCTTCCACAGGTTTGGTACAGTTGAAGACCAAGCCAAGGCATTGCGATTGTACACAGTGCAGATCCCTTACAAACGTGAACGACGTCCGCTTCCCTGCTACATCACCAAGTGGGATGGACATAGTTTCTTGCCCCTGCTTACTCGTCCCTGTGGCAATGAGGTCATCTCATGCCTCTCTGTAAGGTGAGATGATTTTCCTGTGTTCCACCTTCACAGAAGAGAGAGGAACCCTGGTTCTGTTTGCATAACACCCTTAACCTAAGGATGACTAAACAATGGTTTTCTGCAAATGTTCGGCTTTTACACTATATTTAACTACAGTATATAGACTATATTCACTGTATATTTGCACAACATCCTAAGGTATATGTTGTAAAATGATGGTGTTAGTTGCGTGCCTGAATAGGAGCTGAAGCTCCTTAATAGCGAATTATAGCCTCTCAGATCCATTTCTCCTCTAATATCCAGTGGGATTAATAGGAAAGGACTTCGCAAACATCTTGAACAGTTAGTTTTGGTATTTCAAGGCTGGAGCCTGTTTGGCCTTCAGAGGAAATGCTAGTCCTCTAAAATGAGTCTCCAACCCCCGGGTCCGTGGACCACTACCAGGCTGCACCATGCCAGCAACTGGTCCACACAAACAAGCAAATCCGATCTGTGAGATGCAGGTAGCACATAAAACCATGCACCCTCTGGTCCGCGGAAAAACCTCTCTCCACGGAATCTGTCCCTTGTGCCCAAAAGGTTGGGGACCTCTGCTCTAAAACATATTTATCTAAGTATTGGTCTACATGAATGTCATGGGGAATGCACATGGCTCTCTTTCTATGCTTTCAGTGAGACAGGCACATTCCTGGGTTTGGGCACTGTCACAGGCTCGGTTGCCATCTTCGTCGCCTTTTCTTTGCAGGTATGAGTTTACCCCTCCAATATTGTGTATACATATGCTCAGCTAGCTGGGCCAGCTCCAGCACACACAAAGCCTGGTCAAGGCACAAGCCATTGTTGGAGTGAGGGGTGAGGATGTTGATACTTATGTTTCAAACTCATGGTTGGCATAGGGCTGGTATGTGTACAGTTCCAAGACCTTGTAGCAGGCTCTATAAGTAAGGCCAAGGAAAAGGGGAGGATTATCTTGACTCCTGAGAGTTGAATGTCGCCTGAATCAGTGGCATGTTGCCTCCAATTCTGTGTTCCTTTCTATTTCCCCAGAGGGTGTACTACGTGCGAGAAGCACATGGCATAGTGGTCACTGCTGTGTCCTTCCTGCCTGAGACTGCAGAACTGCTCAAGAGCAATGAGGCAGCCCTGCTAAGTGTGGCAGTTGACAGCCGCTGCCGCCTGCACCAGATTGCCTGCCGGCGTATGTTCAAAGCTGGGACAGTGGATTTAAATGTGGGATGGGATTCCTGTCTTGCCAATATGGGGTCTCCTACAAACTCTTGGTGATTCAATGCTTTTTCTTTTCACAGGGAGTTTCCCCATCTGGCTCCTGCTGCTCTTTTGTGCTGGGCTGATTGTGGGCACAGTCCTGTTACTACAGCTGGCCTTCCCGGGGTTCCTCTAACCTTTCTTTATGATGAGGTTCCTGGAAAGCTTGGACCTTCTCTGCCCTTCCTGTAAGAGACGCATCTTCTTCTTTCTAACCTCAGAGACTGAGAGAGGACTCAGGAGCCAGGGCAACGATTGCCCTAGTGAAGTGTGTGGTCAGGTGAACTTGGCCAAGCTAGAGGCTGGGCCTCACAATTGATCAGGTTTTGGCCTTGAGCAATTCTTGTCTAACCCCATCACACTGAATAGGGATGGAGGAACAATACTTCTCCATTTTTGACTGATCTGTGAGAAACATTCCAGCTTTATTTGCTCTGAGCAGAGATTTCCTGTTTAAGCTCAGGTCTTAAACCTTGAATTATTAAACACAATGATGGAGCAGAGCCTTTTCTTCCTTCCTGCCTGCCTTGTTGGTTACTTCTCCATTTTCTTTCGGCTTGGGCAGAGCCAAAGGTCATAACTGTAGGGGGTTCTTTGGGGCCAGAAATGAAGGAGGTTGCAGCTGCTCCACGAAGGCTGACCAAGACACTGTCATTTGGAATAGGTCTACTGTCCCGTGTCTAACAGCAATTATTTTTCTGCCATGGCTATGTAAGAGAAGGGGACAGAGAGGATACGGGATTTGGGGATTCCCTTTCCTCTTGAGAACATCTATAGCTTGACTTCAGGAATTACTCTAATAGCCTAAATGTATACACAGAGAAAGCAAGGATGCTTATGCATGTGTTCGTGCAAATGCACACCCCGTTTGCAGCTTATGTCAGCAAACCATAACTGTTCTCATGAAAAAAAAAAAACAAATTTTCAGCAATGTACAGTCCCTCTTCACATCTTGGCTTCAAGCATTCTCCAGTATGGATTTCTCCATGAAGTGAAAATTTCTTTCCCCTCTCTTATTAGATTACTTATTTTGTGACTTGGGAAGTATGTGAACAATATCATACTTGTTCAATTATTTTAAATTCCCAGAGTTTTATTAGGTCACCACTTTTTCATAGAAGTAAAAATCATGACTGCTGATGTGGTATGCTGGCATTTGCCAATCAGAAAAATGAAAGTGATCACAATCTGAAAAGAATGCTCGGATAGGTGGTTCTGCATCCTGCATCAATGCTTGTTTTTATCAGGGAAGCAAGAGAGGGAATAAATCTTCCTTGATAGTCCAGGTACAGTGTCTCAATTGAGTGAGCTAGTAAGTGAGAAGTAATTGTCAGCTAGTAATTGTAGAGAAGGCCTTGGGTCTAGTAGTGTATTTTGTTGGAGTAGCCTTTGGGGGTCAGCCATAGGTGATCTGTTGCTACATGACCTTCATATAATTTTTGGACATCTTCTTAACATGCTTAACTAAATAAGGGGTCCCCTCCCCTGGTCTGTGGACCAGCACCAGGCTGCAGCATGCGGAACCACACCCTCTCCAGTCCACAGAAAAACCTCTCTCCACGGAACCAGTCCCTAAAAGTTAGGGCCTGCTGTGATGGCTGCATTACCATACCATCTGAGATATTTTAGATTTTTTTTTGTTGTGCTCAACTTATTTGGCTAGATAATGGTTCAGTATAGTGCAAAATCAGAAGGTTGCTTAATTCAGTCATTGGGACAAGCATGTTATACAACTACAACAATGGATTCAAGAATAGGCTTTTGACCTCTATATGCTTGGTGATGTTTAGTTAGTTAATTCTTCCATAACAAATAAATTTCTGCATCATGCTTTATGGTGGGAAAAGTAGAACTATTGAGGGAATCTGGACTTGGCAAGATCACAGAGTCTTTCAGACTATTTGAAAAGTTCCACTGCTCAGTGCCCTAGTTTACACATTACACTATACACCTTTATTTTTCTCTTAGTTTGAAACCAGGCATTTGTAGCTTGATAAACTACAGTTCAGCAATTAAGTCTACATTTGCCCTGATATATAGCTTGGCTTTGAATGATAATGGTTTGAAATTTCTTTTTTAAAAAATTCGGAGGCTACTGAGAACATAACATTGTCTGTTATGCAATCGAGTAATCTACCAGGTCTTTGTCTGCTAACAGATGATTACCAGAGTTTTAGGTGGCATATCTTTCATTGGCCCAATATTTAACAGTTGAATCTGTGTACATATATCTGGGCTATAACCATTCTTGCTTGCAACCATATTTCCATATATATTGTGAAATAGTAGCACTATTTTTCTGTTCTTCCCTTTCCTGAGTCTCCAACATGGTAGCTGAAAGCAGGGGAAGCAGTAACTTTTCTTATTTTTTCTAAATAACCAGCTTTTATGATTTCATTCTGTTGTGTCATCTTTTCAGTTGTATAATAATGAAATAGCCCAGTTTTGCAGCTTATTGGGAAAAAAATATGTGCTTTTACTGAATAGGATGATTTGCTCTAGATGGCAATAGCACTTAGACTTCATAGTGCTTTACAGCCCTCTCTAAGTGATTTACAGAGTCAGCATATTGCCCCCAATAACCTTATTTTACCATCCTTGGAAGGATGGAAGGCGAAGTCAGTGAGACTTGAATTGCCGATGGCAGCCAGCAATCAGCAAAAGTAGTTGCAGTACTGCATTTTAACCACTGCACCACCTTGGCTCTACAATAATAAAATTTATTGTAGAACAGGGGTGTCAAACTGCCGGCCTGACCGGATGCATCATAGCAAAACCACGCCCACCCCATTGCAGGCAATGGCAAAAAAGTCACGATATGTCGCGACACATCACGTGATGTTGCGAGTTTGACACCCGTTGTAGAATATGGCAGCAAATAAACATTGGCTGAGCTTGACAAATTCAATTGGTACATGGACGAGGCCTCTCCAGGAAATTGCAGTTGTTGGCTAGACCAGGAAATTGGAAAATCATGCCAGAAGAGGGCAGTGACAAACCATTCCCAAGCTCTCCCAAGAGAACTGTATTTTTACCAAAATCAAAATAATGGCCCCTTTCCTAGGATCTCCTCTCTTGGGGAAGATTGGTTCAGGTTTCATGCAATGGAAGTACTGTAGCTGATTTTTCAGAGGAAAAAGACTACACACTATTAACTATTTCCCAAGGCACAATCAGAAACAGTTCTAGAAGATGGAATTAAAGTATCTAACTAGAACTTACTTTCCCAACTGCAGCAGAGGCTGATTGGGAGAAATTCAAATTGAAAATGAGGAAGGGAATTTTAGGATGAAGTGTCTGGTAACCATCTCCTTTTTTGCAGAGTGTATTCTAAGATGTGGCCTCAGGTACAGTATACAAGCCACTATTTTACCTGTGGTGTGCCTAATTTTTTAGCCAAATATTTTCACAGAGAAAAGCACACAAAACTCTTCTCTACAAGAAAATCCAGGATGGAGGAATTAAAACAATAGGGAACAGCTGGTGTCTTCATATATGGAACAAACAGCCATATGCCAAAATGCTAGAAAAACAATCCTGTATTCTGCTGATCATCATTACAGCATCTTCATCTGTGGTTGCCATTCATAGCAGCAGATTCTGGCTAGGAGTCCTTTGGGAAAGGAAATGGGTACCCTAGGACACGGGTAGGCAACCTTGGCTCTTTTATGACTGGTGGACTTCAACTCCCAGAATTCCTGGGAATTGAAGTCCACCAGTCATAAAAGAGCCAAGGTTGCCTACCCCTGCCCTAGGAAGACAGAAAGGATGTTGTGCATGATGGTGCCATTAGTTTTGCCTGTGAGGGGTTCCATCTCTCTAAGTGAGATCATATTCACCCTCCTGTATGGTGGACGTCTTGGCTCTTGATCATGTGCTGGTCATCTTTGTATATAAGTTCTGTCCAAGCTGTTGGCTTCCCATGGTTACTGTTATAGCTGCCAGCTCCTCCTGATGTTTGAAAGCAGCATCCATAAATTGACTAAAGACACGGTCCATGTAACTCTGATGGCGAGGTAGGAGCCCTTCTAGGAAGCCAATATGGCCACCTCGTTCAGTCACTAAGAGGGCGAGGGTGGACACATGCTGTGCGGTCTCTGTGGGAATAGCTGGAAGAAGACAGAACAAATCAGAGCAGGCTCCTAGTGGCCTTTCTTTAGAGGCAGGAAAAGTATAGGACTCACCATGTTGAGGAGAGAAAGGGTCATCTGAAGCATTCAGACACAATACTGGCACTTCTATGAGACACACCTTCTGGGAAGGGCTGGCTTCCTGGTAATATTCCTGGCATGACTTGTAACCAAAGACCACAGACGTATAGCGTTCATCAAACTCCCGGATGCTGCGAGCCTGGGAGAGCAAGCCCAAGGGTGGGGGAGGAGAGAGAGCACATAAAGGTCAAGGCATGGAGCAGAGGATGGGCCTGGAAAAGGTTGGGAGGGTGGAGTGATGGTACCTTCAGCACATGGTTCACATCCAATCTCTCTTCAATGACCTTTCTATGCCTAGAAGGAAAAGAGTGTTATGATGAGAGACAGTAGATTTTCTGGAAGGTAGTCGTGATACCTGCCTGAGTTGGCAGAAGGCCTAATTAAGTTTTCAGTCCTGGGCTAGGCAAGGTCCCATTATAACATAATACTCACCGTTTGATCAGGTTGCACAGGTTGGCTGTGAGGTACTGGTTGAAGAGGAATTGGTTGAGAGGCTGCTCAAGGGAATGGATTGTTTCAAATGCGTCCCAGCTCACTGAGCAAGTCATGGCAGCCACCAGTCCAGCCTCCTGGCCCTTTTGCCCCAGATAGTTAAGCACCAGGATCCTGTCAAAAGAGAGTTTGGGTGGCTTTGGGCTGGGTTGGGCACAAATGGATAATTTTGATTAACCTTCAACGGTTAATCAAAAGACAGCTGGGAGTCAAGAAAATGCCTACTTGAAGCTTTGCCTTCTCATTCCATTCAGGAGTCATAAATGCTACACTTTCCTAAAGGAATTCCCATCCTGGGATCTATTATTAAAAGAACATGTTTTGCTGGATCAAAAGTTCAAGATAGCTTTCAAGTGACAGAACTCTTCACAAATGAAAGATTCAAGCCAAAAACTGTTCTTCCCTAGACAGTTTCAAATTATTATCTTCTGAGAGCCCTTTCCAGCAGAGGATGTGAGAGAAAAATGAAATCCCTGAGATTGTTTGGACCGAGAGCTACTTTTAGAGCAGCTATCTGTACTAAGTTCCCACTGTACAGCTTCCCCCAACCTGATGCCTTTCAAAAGTTTGCATTCTCCACAAGCTTCCCAACCAGCTTGGCTGCAAGTACATAACCACGTCTCTTTTAATTTCCTGGCTGTTAATTTAAAAACATTTGAGTCTTAGCTCCTTACTGGTGCAAAAACAAGCATTAAAAGATTCAACTGAATCTATTTATAATGAAAAAAAACAAGACAGATTTAAAATATTTAAGTGGCCTAGAAATGTCAAATGATAGGATCTTCAGAAGTGTATTTGGTTGCTTTTTCAAAATGTCATAGCCTTCAGGGCCTTTTGTGTAAGCAAGTTAGGGTCAGTGGTAAAGTAGATCTGCAACACCAAAGCTTGCCTTTGGCCAAGCAAGTTGTAGCTTTGGTTTTCATCTCCAACTAAAAAACCTGGCTATGTATACGGAAATGCTGCCCAGATGCCCCCTTAAATAGTTAACTATGCTTCCCTGACTATAAAAAATGTTTTTGCCCAAAGAGGTACCTGTTCCGTAAGAAGATAGTAGAAATTTGCAATATCAGAGACAAGTTCCTATTTTGCATTACTATGTTCTAGACAAAGTGTGTTTGGTGTTGCTGACTCATATCCACTGCCACCATGACTGAGCAAACAGACTTCCGGATTGCCTTTCATCTAGAATCTATCAATTAGGGACAGAATCCTATCTCAAACACTTTGCTTAAGCTCTGTAATGAAAGAACAGAGTGAAACATTTGTTCTGTGAGGCTGTTTTCTGGAGCTGTTTCATTGGCTGTTGTTAGCCTCTTGGACTCTGAGATAAACAATAGTCAGTCTATCAGCAGCTGGGAAGGAAAAAACAGCCTCCATGGAGACTTTCATCACCAGTATTTCCACACAGAGTATCTACATAAAGAGTAGGCAGTCTTTGACCTACACACAGTCATCAACACTCATCTGTAGCCCACAAAGCATTTGTTTCCCCCCCCCCCATGGAAGGGCTATAGGTTAAAATGGGTGCCACAAATATTTATATCTGCTCAAAAGCTCCTGAATCACAATAACATTATGGAAAGATTAAGGGATAAAATGTCTCTGGTTTGAAACCGATTTTGCTCTTCAACTTGCATAAAAAAATCCCCAAATTGATCATTCCTGCTCCATTTTCATTACGTTATCAGGCATAAAGGTTGCACATCTGTCCTATAACTGCGGTCTGGCTCCCGGACTACATGGGGTAAGGAAAGGCCTTTGAAAAAGCTAACAAAAAAAAAAAAAAATCAGGTTGCTGGGCTCAATCAGTAGGAACATAGGGTGTGAGTGTACTGAATAATACAAGGAAGAATAAAACTGATATTTTCTTTGGGAACATTATTGCAATAAATGACTATGCTTTATAGCTTTTTTTAAAATGAACTTTGTTCTACATTGCTTCTTACCTAAATAAAGTGCTTACAGCAGTTTACAAAGCTGATGAAATCAGGAAATAAGCAGTGCTACTGAAGTCATTTTCTTGTCCATACCTCACAATTTATGATGCACTTTGTTTTATAAGGCTTCTCACTTAAAAAAAGGGGCTTACAGCAATTTATCCAGGGGACATCAGTGTTGGAAGTCATACATTTGCACACACCTTGCAAACAATCAAGGTATTCTGCAAATTATGGGTAAGAGTATAATCAAACAGCATTGTCTCAAAGGAAAAAACGAAAGCTACCATCAGAAGGCTGAAAAAAGATTTTTTTAAATATCTATAGAGAAAGTAGTATTTAGTCGAGGTTGGTACCTTATATGAGCCTTCAGCTAGGTTGAAGATACAGTAGAATCAAAGTGTTTGTTTTGTAAACCATTTTAAGATTAGTTGGCTTTTGGCTCTGTTGAAAGGGGGTTGAGTTGGAGAGTTTAAAGTAGATGTAACAAATCTTTATGAACACATGGTACCCCTATTTTAGCAAACTCAGGAACTCAGGCTACTGAAAACTGTGCTGCTAAATATTGATAATGCAATCTAGGAATGTTTAAGTTCACAAAATAGGTGAAACCACACAAAAATCTGAGGATTGCTCACCCTGACGCGGGGATGTGTGAGTCTGTATGTGTATCTTATATGACGCAGATGCAGCTGAAGACGTGTCATCGATGGGAAGAAATTGAAAATATTAAATACAGTGGTATATTTGGGAAGAAGAAAATGATGATGATGATGGTGGTGGTGGTGGTGGTGGTGATGATGATGGAGATATTATCATCTTTAGTCCAATATTTTAAATGATTTGATTTTCTATCTTTAATTAAAAGAATCTATGATAATGTGAAATACAAAACCAGACTGCCTCATCCTGGTATGCTCCTTGGGGTCAGAAAATTATGCTTCTCCATTTTCCCTTCTTTTGCCCAACCTAAGTCTCACCCGCCAAGAGAAATGCCAACTGCCATCAATGGTGCATGAGGGAACCGGCGTTTGATATGGCCCACCACCAGCTCCAAGTCCTCAGTATTGGTGGCACAGAAAGCCCGATGCGTCTGAAAATAAGAGGGACATGGATGGGAGACCAAAAAGCAGTTCTGAACAGCAGCAAAGAGCTGTCTCTTCTAAAAGTACGGTGTGTGTGTGTGTTTGTGTGTGTTTGTATGGATCACCTGTAACAGACAAGTCCTCCTTTCCCATGTAATTAAAAAGCATTTGTACCTATCTCAGCTGCCAACACACACACACACACACACATATATATACAGACAGACAGGTTTGTGCTACACTGCAATAGCTCTTACCAGCAGCTCTTCTCCTCTGCACCCTCGATTATTAAACACAACAGCCCTGGAAGGGATAATGGTAAATTTCCATAAGAAGACATCATTTTCATTTTGATACAACCCTATACTTATTAGCCCTCAAACAAAACAGAACTCCCAAATGAATGTGACACTAGATCCAAAGTGAAATAAATCCAGTTCTCTAAATTTCAAAACATTGGGTATGTTTTATGGTGTTGCTCACCTGTAGCCATGGCTCTGAGTGCTGTTTACCAAATGCAGAATATAAGTCTCTCGGCTGCTGCCTGTCAAGCCTGGCAAAAACAGGACAATGGGACAATTTTCTGGGTCAGGATGGGTCCCATTGTCAGGATCAGCCCAATCCAGGAGCAACTGCCCGCCATCTGCAGTTTGCAGCAATTCACTGAATGAGATGTAAAAAGACGAGGCAAAATGTGGACAGAATGGCACTCAGTGTCATGTCCATTGTCTCAATCCAACAATGCAATCCCCCCCATAGTGGACTCACCTGTGGTAGGAAACCAATGGGCAGGATTTGATAAAGACACGAACAATGGTCTGAAGTCGACCTTCAAAGCACCATGGTGTAGGGTAGAATGTCTCTTTCACAATGGGGCAATACTTCTCCAAGAAGGACTGGAAAGGCTGACAAGCCACCAGTAGTGGGCGCTGCAAAGGAACGAGTGGAATTCTAGAGAGTGAACTTGAACAACAAATCAAACTCAAGATCTCCTCCACTACCCCTCAGTAGGACCACTCCTCCAGTTACCTGTGGAGAAGATGAATCACCCTGAGGCAATAAGGAAGGAAAGCATTTGCAAGTTAGAGGAAAGTCCCTCCCCTCTCACACACACAAGTTTCTCTCAATACCCCAAGAAGCTAATAAAAGCGTTATTTTAGTTATAAGACATAAAAGAGCTTCAAAAAGTACAGTAGAAAGCAACCAAATTTATCAAAAGACTGAAATGCCTTTCTCATGAAGAAAGTCTAGAATGGCTGGGACTCCTTAGCTTTCAAAAACACAGTTGAGAGTGGGGGGGGGAGGGAAATGAATAAAGCAGATAAAAATAATGGATAAGGATACATTTTTCTTCCTCTCTCAGAAAGCTAGGACCAAAAACCATCTCATGAGGCTGAGTGGGAAAAGATTTAGAACAGATAAAAGGAAGCACTTCTTCATCCAGCACATAACGGACTTGTGAAATTCATTAGCACAGGATTTGGTGATGACTACTAATGGATGGTTTTCCAGGGCGACTGAGTAAATTCATGGAGGGAAGCCTGAAAACTCCTTGGATCATAAGACTTAATGTTATCTCAGGGTTGGGGGTTGCCTGTCCTAACCAGTAGCTGCAAACAAATATATGGCTGAGAGAGGTATATCTGCCTCCTTGGCTTGTGAGCATCCTAGAGACAATTGGTTGGTCACTGTGGAAAAAAAGCTACTGGATGACGAACATTGGCCTGATCCATCAAGTTTGTTCTTACATAATACAGGTATACAATACAGGTATGTGTAGGCAGGCAGGCTAGCACACCAAGATTACAGTGGAAATAGTCATCCAGGGAATTATTTTTGAAGATCATTGTTCTGTCAGGTTTCTGGGAAGGAGAAGTAGGCGGTAAATTGATTGCTCTGAAGTATATTATTATGCCCTAATTTTGCAATTCTAGAACCAAAGCAATGAAGGCACAGCCCAGATTTTGCAGAGGCCAGAATTTGTAATAGGATCCAAGGATCTGCTTCTCAGCAGGAAACTCATTTGTCCTTATACGGTAAACAACTTCTGTTTCTTAAAATTCAGCCTGTAATGTAAATTTCAACTGAATGTAAAATACTGAACTCTGCATGAATTTTCCCCTGGATATCAAAAACCAGGAGTGTGAGTTCTAATTCCACCATATGCATGAATAACTGATTTTGGGTCAGTCTCTCTTTCTCAACTCACCAGGAGTGGTTGTGGGGAAAATAGGAGGAGAAAGTAGTGTTATGTATGTTTGACACCTGGAGTTATTTATAAAAATAATAAAGGAGAGCTATAAATAAATAAGCCTAGCAAAATGGAGTAACTGTCGATATTTGGACTCTCTAGAGTCCTCTCTAGTTTTTCCATCTTTAGTTTTGAATGGGGTTGCATTATCCCCAGACAGATCAGCTGTGCAATCTGGAGGTCCTTTGGACTTTTGGCTTCTGCTTGAAAAGCAGGTGGCAGCTGTGGCTAGGAAGGCTTTTCCAGACCTTTGGGTGGCATCCCAATTGTGCTCATACCTGGATCATGAGGCTGTGCTCACAGTAACCTTGTAAGTTCTCATTTAGACTACTGTAACATGTTCTACATAGGGCTGCCTCTGAAAAGCATTCAGAAACTCCAGCTGGTGCAGAATGCGGCTGGGCAGGTAGTAAATGGTGCCAGATATATTGCACATTTAACATTACTTCTGTGTGAGCCTCATTGGTTAATGGTGGATTTCCAGGTGCAACTCAAGATGCTGGTTGTCACCTTTAAAGCCCTGCATGGCCTAGAACTGGGTTACCTGAAGGATTGCCTTTTTCCAAAAGTCTCTATTCATCCAACTCAATCTAACAGAATGGATATGCTGCAGCTCCCGTCAGCCAAAGAATATTGCCTGGCGGGGACTAGAAGATGGGTTTTTTCCTCAGTAGCCTCTGCTATATGGATTGTCCTCCCTTCAGGGATTAGAATGACCCCAATCCTATTAGCCTTTCATATGGCTGTAAAAACCTAGTTATGTTCCAGATCCTGGGGTGCTAAATGTGTTAAGGGTCCCATTTCCTGGCTGTATTACTAACTGGCTCAGTATCTGAGTTGCTATAAATATTTATTTTAGATGTTTCTATTGTTTTCATGATTTTAAAAAGTTTTTAGTGTCTTAATAATATATGTTTTCAATTGTACACTTGAACAGCTATAGAAATTGAATAAACAAACAAACAAATATTTCATGGCAGGTTTGAATATGTGAAATTCTATTTAGCCTTTCCAGTGGAGGCTGTAGGGCAGTGATGGCGAACCTTTTAGAGACCGAGTGCCCAAATTTCAACCCAAAACCCACTTATGTATCGCCGGGTGCCAGGTGGGCATGGCCCACTGGGTGGGTGTGGATACAGTGGTTGTGGCAGATGGGTGGTCGTGGCTAGCCTGATGTTGCTCGTGGGGAGGGATGCCTGTGGGGGCCGGGCAGGGTTGGGGAGATCCAGGGGTCTCTGGCAGATGGGGTGGTGGGCAGGAGACTGGTTCTGTGGGGTGAGGAGAAGCAAGGCGAGGCAGGGCGGGGGTGTCATTGTCACAGGGCAAGGGCCGGGGTGGCTGCTGCCTGACACCATCGGCCCATGCACACAGAGGCCAGCGAACGCATGGGTGCTGGGATGCATCTGGCCACGTTGGACCTCGGCGAGTTAGCGGGCAGCTGGTTGAAGAGGACAGTTGCCATCTCCGTGGCATGGCGCGCATGCCACAGAGAGGACTCCAAGTGCTGTAGGGTGTCTTGGCTTTTGATGGAGTATGCTGCCTTCAGTTGTACAAAGTAAAAGCAGAATATAAATTTAAATGAACTATTTATAATGTGAATTAGCCAAGATGCAAAGGCATCTCCACAGTAATACTTGACAGCCAAAGCAAGCAAATCTTCACCCACTGGAAGAGCTTAAATGCAAACAAACTAAATACCTGAAGAGCTTGTGGCTAGAGGTAAGATAAAAATCAACCAAAAACCATCTAGTATATTCCTGAATGAGAAGGAGATGCATATTCCATACAAAAAAAGAAAACAACATAAAGGCAGATGTATTATGGTCAGAACATACTAACACTTGGCAACTAAAATGAAGAAAACAGGAGTGGGCAGGGAAAAGCAAGGAAGCAGGTGAGGAGTTTCTGTCTCTAATTAATCCTGTCGCAAGAGTAGAAACAGCAACGTGTAAGTGCAGAATACTTCAACTGAGTGGCTTTCTGGCAATCCTCCAAGGGGCACCCTTGCTAGTAAGTCAGTAGAAAGGATGGAAACCGGGCTCAGAGAAATAACCTTGCTTTAGGGGCCAATAGAAAGATAGGAAAACATTGTGTGAAGTTGGCCACCAAAGTCGCTATGCCCCCTTTCGTGGGTTCCATTTTGGAGTTTGGTGGGAACCCTCTGATATATTTCAGGGAAATTAAGTGTCGTTTTTATTTTCCATCGCCCCGAAGAAAGAAAGACTCGGAAGCCGCTCTGCAAATAGGCTCTACTTCATCGCCTCGGAACTTTTCCTGCCTCCCCCTAACCCATCCCTAAGCGTATCCAAAGACGCTGCAGTACCGATGCTTAAGGCTGACCTTGGGGACGCGCGCCCAATAGTACAGGAGCCAACCGGTGCTGCAGCCCAGCAATAACGACAGTCCCAGCATCGTCTTGACTTTGTCCTCCCTCGTCGGCGGAATCAGGCTCAGCCGGCAGCCAGTCAACGAAGGGACCGCTACAGCAAACAAAGCGAATACAAAAGTCAGGCACAGCCTTAAAAGGCAGGCTCCGCCCCCTTTGTGATGAGCAGGCGCCTTTGCTCCGTCAGCCGCAGCGACCATCTTTGTGACGGAAATTCCCGTTCATTCTACCCGACGTTGGACAAAAAAGGCTGGAAGTCGGATCTCCCGTGTCAGAGATCAGGGTTCAAGTGTTCGTCGAGCACCCTTGCGCTTCTGCCGCCCTTCGTGCCATTTCAGTGTGTCTCCTTTTTTCTGGGGAGGGAAGGGGAAAGTCCGCGGCGATCTTTCCTGAGCACTTCCTTAAAACGGGCTAACTTACTTTATTGAATCTTCATCCATTACCATCCCGAACCTGTCCGCGCCCGTCTTTCTTTGCACGAAAATTAGTGTAGGAGACGGGCCAAATTCCCTAAGATGATCAGTTGGTGGAAGAATGAGCAGAGAAACTAATGAGCAAAAAAACAAAATAAAACCCTAAGACAAATAAGAGAAGAAGGAGCAGAGGAGAAAGAAAGCATTAGGTTACTTAAAAACGACTGTATGTATGTTAAGAAAGCTTTCAACTGACAAGGCCGTCCTCAACAAGCTAATGGAGGGCAGCAGGGAAAATAGAAGAGGAAAGATAAAACGAGGATTTTTTTATTGTATGATACCACTTCCAAGAAAATAAAGAGAACTTCTGAAAATGAATAAAACACTCTTGTTATGTTTGCCAGGTGAAGCTTGGACTTCCACACTAACATAAGAAGATCAAACCTTTGTTTTCATTGTTACTAATTGATAATTAAAGCAATGTAATTATGCCTCATTTCATCCAATACAACTAGTAAAAGGAAAAGTAGGCTGACACTGGTGGTTAAAGACATCATACTGAAGTCAGTTAAAGTCCTAGGGATTGCATTTGCACCTCTTAATTTACTAATTAAATTAAGTGGCTGTGGGAATCAAGCCACTGACTTAGTTCAAATACTACATTAACTTAAAGACTTTGAAGGAGGAGATCCCTCTTAGCCTATGGCTATCAAAAGTCAGAATTTTGATAGCATCTTTTCTGAATAATATGTTTGATTAAAAAGCATAAGCTTCTGTGATCTGATAAAGGAAATGATTCCATTCCTTTGATGTTGTGATGATGTACCTGATGAAGTGACTGCAACTCATGAAAGTTTATACCATTTAATAAAGTTTGTTAGTTGGAAAAGGTCTTACTAAATTTCTTCTGATTTGGGTGTTACTAAATTAACCCATTGTCTGGAATCACAGTATGTGGAATAGTAAATTAAATGTGCTGGATTCATACAATTTGCGTAGTCATGTATGTACAAAAACCAATTAAGGTTTAAACTAATCAAGCCTGGTATATTATGAAAATGCACCTGATTAAGCATGCTAGGCAAACTCGGTCACTAAGAGAATGATGTACTTCGATCTCCTTAGCCAAGACAGATTCAGAACTTTGCCTCTTAACTGTTACATGCTGGGTTCAGCCAAAATGTGAGGTTTCTTGTTTCTAATGTGCATTGGTGTGTTGAAACAAACATAGTAATTGTAGTTTATAAATCCAAATAAATATGGGTTATTCACTTTACTATAGTTAAATAAATAGCTTGATGTGAACATGATTGTAAACTATTTGCAAAACCATACAACAAATGTTGGTGGAACATTTAAACTTGATAGTTGTAGTATGGGAGAAGGGTCAGCCAATTCTGTAAGATTAGTGAAAAATTCTGCCTTAATTATCTACCATAAAGCAGATTTTTCTTTCTAAGGTTTCTAAACAGATATTTCTAAGAAATTAATCAGCCCCAAAATAGTTAATTTTTTTTGGACAATTGCATTTTAAATTGCAAACAAAATCTACTCCTGTTTATTTCATTGTAGGAATGAAATTCAGTCTTGGAATTTATTTGGCAAATCATTTTGTCACAAAGCTTCCTAAATGTAGATAGTTAATGTTTCACCATCTGCCAAAATATGCTTAATTATTACTGCTAATGTGTCATCAAGTCATTTTATTGCCTACTTTATATAGACTCATTTAAATTTAAATGACTGAAAAAACATTTCTTTTCAACAAAATAAAATAAATAAGAATTAGAAAAATGCCACTACATATGTTTTACAATTTGAACATAGCTGTAAAATTAAAAGTCCAATTGTTATTTAAGTTTAAAATATTTAAACATTCTGTTATTTACATCTGGCCAACTGTGTTTTTGAGGAAAAAAAGAATTAAGGAAGTAATACTATCCCACTGTAGCTAGATGGCAGCACATCATAAACATAGGTTCATCTTAAAAGTAGAATTGGATGGGATAGCCTTTTAAAAGAATGAAGAAATTGCAGAGTTGCAGGCTAATTGAGAAGGGGGGGGGGGAACAATGACAAACCACTTTACAGTATTGCCAAGAAAGCCCTGTAGAAGTCCATGAAATCACCAGGAATGATTTGAAGTAGACAGATATCTTTTATTGAATCTGAACTGCCAGATAGCTGTTGGCTTGCTCAATTGTTGCAAATAAAAGGACCTCTGGGAAGTGGCAACAGGGCGATGGCCATAATTTTATAGGGCAGAGCTTTTCAACCAGTGGTACAGGTACCACCTGTCGTACATTGACACCTGGCAGGTGGTACACGACCATTCTAGAAAAGTAACGGGGGAGGGTGTTTGTAGAATTCCTTGAAAGAAATTCAGAGACGAGGTTCGGAGTAGCAGAATAAAGTTTCTTTTATTATCAAAGTTGAGTTTAGTAAAAGAAAACGGTTTGCAAAGCGTGGTGAAACTTAACCATGCACTCCCAAGAGTTGCAGGGAAAAGCCACACCTCCTACAGAAGCGTAACAGCAGTTATACCCCTCCCTATCTCCTCCTATACCTACGTCAGCTATTCCTGACGTGGCAGGTCACAAACCTATCAGACGACACAATTATCCTACCTTACCTCCTACCTTACCATACCATATATGGGTATTCTTTTGTTCTCTACATGTGGACATTCTCTACTTAGTTTCAGGCACGTACTCATGTTTTCTTGCACATGCTCAGTGAGCCTGTTGCTGAATAGAAAATTTTAAACTTTTCTAAAACCTTCCCATTCAATTCCCCCATTTCTTATTTGGTCACTAGTTTAATATTTTCTTTTATTTCATTTAACCTACTAGTTTCCTCTTTGGTAGTTTTCATTGGATGTGAAGTATTCATACTTTCCAACAACTGGATTTGGTCCTCAATTTCTTTTAATACCATTATGGACTTAGCATTTTGTTGGGCTTGTAATATACCATGGACTGAACTGTTTACTAGGTTCTTTATTACTGGAATCAGACAAGGTAACATCATTATTCCAATGAATATAATACATACCATAAACAGAGCCTGTTTCCAATTTCTGAATATTCCTCCCAAGAACCCTTCATCATCCAATATCCCTGTCCAAGTTTGTACAGGTACATGTGCAATTCTAACCATGTCTTTCGTTATCTGGTTAATTACCATGCCTGAATCGTCAATTTGTATACAGCAATTTGTTAAATTAAATTTTCCACAGACACCTCCTTCCTTAGCCAACAAATAATCTAAAGCCAAGCGGTTTTGCATAATATATGTTCTGGACAAAACACTTTCTTTAGCCAACTTAGTTAAAGCCTCAGCTGTTCTATTGGTTATAATTTCTACTACTGCTTGTAATCGGATAATTCTGTTTAACATATAAATTGGGGTCCTATACCCCCAACTTCCATCTTGGGCCCAAGTAGCTGGATCATAATAAGCAATTATTCGTTCGGGTGGCCATTCATCATCTTTCCAATTCCCAATTTTTAACCCTTCTCCCACTTTAGCCACAGACCGCCTTACCAGGTTTCCCACATGTTCATAGGCAGGGACACCCAATAATTGTCTTCTTTGTAATGGCAAGAGGAAGAAAGAGGGTTGTATAGCACCCAGAATACAAGACCCAAACCATCCAGCAGGGAGAATATTATATGCAAATGCTCCGCAGATCCAATATAACCCATCAGGAGTGGTCCAGAGGAGGGTATCGTTTTCAGGATCTTTTAGGAAGGCAAGCTCGGGAATTAAAGATAAAGAGTTGTTAGGGACACTTTGATTCGTTTGTGATATCCAAGTATTGTTTTCCCAGGTATTCAAACAGCGCATGAACCCCATAGGTTTAGTTCTCCCACTATGGTTACTCCTCGAGTAACATATATTGCCCACCAGGTTAATGGACATCCTCCAAGTTTCATTATAGGTGTTCTGGTAAGTGAAATTTCCTTTCCATTTCTCAATTTCAGTATAATTAGCTTCTCTAGCATGCCATGGCCATTCATCTCCCATATTGGTTCCCCCACACACGAAGCAATTTTTCAGCATTAACTTCTGAGCAACCTCTTGGGCTAAAGCGATAAACATATTTTTAGCCTTTGGTGGAACAGGGAGACTATTAAATTTTGCAATCTCTTCCTGATATTCCCAATATACTTTTACTGGCTCTGAAGTTAACTTTGTTGAACTCACTTTTACTATAATATACCCATATGGATCTCTTCCTCTTCCACTTATTCCAATACCAAAATAATAAAAATTAGTAGAGGGGGTTTCAGATGCCTTGATTTGTAAGCAAATCCGTGTACACTGTTCTGGCTTACAATCTGTTGATACTGAGGCCATAGACAAGTTGAACCCCTGGGGTCCTTTCCTCCATTCCCAAGGGGTCTTAGTGGTATACCAATAAGTGTGACTTGGAGCAAAAGCCACCTGGCCTGTATTCGCAGCGGGCATAGCAACTTGGAATAAATATTTTTCTTCCCTCATATAATCTTTTTCCCACTCAAAGTTACCACACTTCATTCCTTGTCTATTATCATGTCCTTGTCCTATCCTTATAGCTTTACAAGTGTCAAAACACACAGACAGCTTGGTATTTCCTCTTGTGGTATTGTGGGCAACGTATCCTCCCTTAGTTTGGGCTATAGCAAATAACCCTTCTGTTCCAGTAACTCCCCCTTTATATCCATATACATAAATGTTAGCAGTAATTGGACCTACTGCTTTTGGTTCATAGC